TGCGTTCACACCAATATCCTCAAGAAACACACACAGCTGGGTGAATATCATCACCTCCTGCAAGAGCTGCGTCTGGATGAGGGTCGTTTCCAGCGGTACTTCAGGCTGACGCTGGCCCAGTTTGAGGACCTGTTGGCCCGTATCGGTGCGAGGATCTCCCGCCTGGACACCAACTACAGGCGCTCCATCCCAGCTGCGGAGCGCCTGTCCATCTGTCTCCGGTTAGTTGCTCATAATTTCTTTATGAATGGGTGGATATCAACGCTGATTGAATGTCACACGATGTCGCTTGAAAAGTTCAAATTTTTCAACTTCAAGCGACACGCGATGAGGCGATGGACGCGTCATCGCTTCATTGCGTCGCTCTTATCGCCTGAAACGCGTCGCCCGAAGCGACATCGCGTGTCATTGCGTCATTTACATTGATTTTGAATGGAAACTTGTGGCGTTCATTGCGTCCATCGCGTTTGGTGTGAAAGCACGGTTAGAGGGCTCAAACATGTACGGCTGGATTAAATTTGTGGCAGCCATTGCTGAGCCAGGGAGATGTCAATCAGAGTATTATCTGCCACGTCCACTCTGTCCTGGCAAGTGGTCTAAACAGCAAAATGAGCTGGTTTTAAACCAGGTTTTCTAATAGTTATGAATGTTTATTTTCTCTCAGACTTTTGTGGATGATTAATGAGACTTTGATATAATATATGCATTTTTACTATTTCAAGCTGTGTTTCCAAAGGCTTTAACCCTGTGGGCCTGAACGATGCATAGTGCATCCAAATTCACACCTGTTCTTCTCTTTTGAGTTTCTCTGCGACCGTTTGTCATAGCAAGAAGCCACGCATATCATGTGAACCAGCAAAACTGTAGCTTTCTGACAAGACCAATCACTTGTCGGTAGTCCAATGTTTTCACAGCGAAAAAACCTCGATAAATTTACACTAAAATGATGTATAACAAAGCTTTCATACAGCTCTCTCTTGGATGGATTACTCGCGAATGCAGGGTCGCACAGAAAAGCTACACGTATCACATGAAAGCGCAGGAGCAGAGCTTTCCAATGATACCACACACATCATTGTGCTGTCATCCCATCATGCTGTAAATACAGATCAATTGTCTACAACATAAAAACATGACGAATTTCTTTACAACCCATTATACAGATCTTGTTATCAGTCACTTCATATAGTGAGGAATAATATTATTACTATTCTTCTATGATCTTAGATGTAAATATTGCATGTTTCTTTTAGATAAAACACATTTTTGACTTGTGAATGAGTCAATGGAATTTCTTGCAATAATGAAAAAATACTGGCAATCATGTCCGCCTGGCACAAACCACATGTTTTGGACAGCTGTGAAGTGACAGACTGTCCCACCATCATGGTTCTTATATTGCCAGATTCCAGAGAGTCTCCCCTCTTCATATATGGCAGAATATGTCTTTATCCAACTTGCTATGCTGAGATACATGTAAACATGTAAGAATTTAGTAACACGGATTTGTTTTTTTCATTGATATAAAAATTAATATAAAATACAGGCACATAGAAGGACATGGAATGATGGCAAATCTGGTTAGCACCGATTGTCCTGAAAAAAACAAGATATAGCATGTGTATGTAGCCTTTATAATGACTGTGATATGAGCTTAAATGTAAAGGCAGGAAAAATACACCAAAAACACTGAGGGGCCAAAGCCATGTTTAATGTGTGTTTAATGTGTGTTTAATGTGTGTTTAATGTGTGTTTTGAATCGACTAAACTTTACAGCACTTCACAGAAACTCTGCCGCTGACTAGTGTTTTGGAGGTGTAACTGCAGACACCACCGCACAAGTATGCTCAACACTATCAAACCAACAAAAATTAAACAAATGGTACGGATGACCAAAACAGAGGTCAAAGGTCACAACAGGAGGTTTTTCATCTGGTGCTAAGATGGTGTAACAAGAAGCTAAATGAGACGACAGAACGTCATCATGGCGAACACGACTTTACAGCCTCGCTGTGGTGGTGACGTTAAATCATGTTACCACGAAGTCGTTCATCTATCGTCTTACGTTAGCTTTTTACTTCTGGTGGTTGCATTAAGGCTTCAATATTCATAAAGCGGTGTCCATTAGTGAGGATTATCTTACTGAACAAAACGTGTAAGTATCATAAACATTAATTCACCACAGTGTTTATTTTCTGCACTAAACCAAAATTCAACTGAAAAATACCCTTGGATGTTGGACGAGTGAACTGGTGAGAAGTTAACTTCTGTAACGTCATCCATGCAACACTCTCTAACGACTGACCTGGAAGGTCCTGGAAGAGAAAACGAAGGTGCAGAAGGTAAAGAAGGCCACACTGACACATCAGAGGACAACAGACAACACTTGAGTCAGAATAACATTTATTTATTGTTCATCATTTAATGATTTCTCCATCTCTCAGTGGAGTGGAAATAGTAGATAAAAATGTTAAAATCAAACACAGAGTAAAATATAAGAACAATATAATGGAACTGAAATATATTTAAACCTTTATGTGAAACATCAACAAAGTTATTAGTGTCTGAGCCTCTGAGGCTTTCAGGTACTTTCCTTTCAGCTCCTTCATTTGTACTTCTGATTAACATGTATGTTACTTTAAAATTTTCCTTATTCATTATTTATCATTTAATTTTTTCTTCATCACTCAGTAGGAGCCGCCTTATCACTGCAACATGGAATTCAATACAGGTCAATATAATAACTTCATCTTCATTATTCACATTCATTCTATTTTTTTTCAAAACTCAAAGAGTAAGTAAGTACATAAAAACTTGAGATCCTGATAGTCCTGTTCAAAAACACATCCTGAACACTATATATATCTAAACCTTTAAAAGAAAGCAATGTGGTCATAATAGAAAACAAAAATCACTATCACATTTTCACTGCTCAGGTTTGTGGAGTTAATCAAGCTGTGGATTTAAACTTTTACATCGGTGTTACTGGTGTTACTGGTGTCAGGAAGTGAATGGTTCCAGCACAAAATGTGGTCACGCTTCAACATTTATCACCACATGGTAAATCTGTGTTTTCCATTTTGGTAAACAGCACATGGAAGTAAATCCCGCAGGAATATGTTTGTCCAAAAGAAAACTGAGAGCAGTCTCACTCTTTGTCTCAGGAACATATGATTGAGCTTTTCTTGGTCAAAGTAATTTAAGTTTCGGTGTCTCAGTTCTGAGTCTGTCTAAAGACAGAACTCTCTGTCCTGTTTGTCTGTGTGGTATCTGTTCAGGTCTTGGCTGATATTGTTCTCGTCTTGATTGGCACTGATCTTGCTGTGTTCTTACTTGTGCCAGGTGGCGGTATAAGCCCCTCGGTCTTTGTTCATATTACAACCTGGGTTTCAAAAGTTATAAGTCAGAAGTTGTAACACTGTATATATATAAACAGAATGCAATGATTTACAAATCCTTTTGACCTATATTGATTTGAATATTGTCCCCAGACAAGATATTTAATGTTCAAACTGATGAACTTCATAGTTTTGTTTTTATTTCTTTGTAAATACACACTCATTCTGAATGTGATGGCTGCAACATGTTATAATAAAGTTGGTACAGGAGCAACAGAGGACTGGGAAAGTTGTGAACACCTGTTTGGAACATCAGCAGGTAAACAGGTTAACTGGTAACAGATTGGAGTGTCATTACTGGGTATGAAAGAGGCATCCTCGAAAGGCTCATTTGTTCACAAGCAACGATGCCACAAGGTTCCCCGCTTTGTGACAAACTATGTGGGCAAATATTTCAACAGTTCGAGTTTTAGAAACTTAGAAACCTTTTTAGAAATTTCACATCTACAATGCACAATAGCATCGAAAGTTTCAGAGAATCTGCAGAAATCTCTGCATGTAAGAAGTAAGGCTGAAAACCAACATTAATGTCCGTGAACTTTGACCCCTCACACTGCTCTCCATTAAAAACCAACATGACTGTATAAAGGTATAAAGGATATTACTACACGGGTTCAGGAACACTTTGGAAAACCTCTGTCAGTAAACACATCACTGCATCGACCAATGGCAGTTCAGACTCTACCATGCTCCGCCCACTTCTCTGAGCCCGAGCTCACCTGAGATGGACTGACACAAAATGGTCTGACCAGTCCATCATGGACCATCCAGACTGTTACCAGCTCAAAGTTCAAAGCCAGCAGATGGGATGGAGAGGTGCATCATGGGTAACTTCACATCTGTGAAGGCACTATGAATGCTGAAATGTACATACAGGTTTTGGAGCAACATATGCTGCCATGCAGACGACGTCTTTTTCAGGGACGTCCCATCTTATTCCAGCGAGACAATGAGACACATTTTGCTGGTGTTACAACAGCGTGTCTTCGTAGTGACAGAGTGCAGGTACCAGACTGACCTGCCAGCAGTTCACACCTGTCTCCCACTGAACACGTGTGGAACATGATGAAGCATCGACCTCGGACTGTTGAGACACTGAAGTTGGATAAACTTCAACAGTTAGTGTCCTCAGTTCCCAAACACTTGCTGAGTGTTAGTCAAAGAAAAGGTGATGATGTCACACAGAGGTAAACATGCTCCTGTAGCAACTGTTTTGGAACGTAAGAATGCAGACATTAAATTCAGGATATATTTACAGAAAAACAATAAAGTTTATCAAATGAAAATTAAATATCTGGTCTCTGAACTGTATTCAACTGAAAAAAGAATTTGTAAATCTTTGCATTGTTGTTGTTTTTGTTACGTTTTACAGTGTCACAACTTTTTTTTGGCACTGGGGTCGTAGAATCGGTCTTGGTCTCCTTTTGGCCTCGGTTGGCATACGGCTCAGTTTCTTCTTGGCCTAGAATCGTGCTCATTCTTGTCTTGGTTGGTTGGTATCTGTCTCTGCCTCGTCTCGGTCAGCACTACTGTTGATCTTGTGTTTTTCTTGGTTGTTATCAGTTGCTGTTGTCCTGGTTTTTGCTGGCGTCAGTGTTGGTATCATTGTAGTCTTGGTCTCTTGGTATTCGTCTCGTTGTTGTCATGGCTGGTACTGGAACGCTTGAAATCAGTAGGTTGACTCTGGGAGAGTTTCTCTCCTCTTCCTAGTTTAGCCATGATGTCTGCTTTTTCTCTCATGGCCATCAGGGACTGAACTCGTTGCTTCCAGCCTGGCTTGGCCTCAGATTTCTCTCCCTCAATAAGCATGTCAATGTACTCTGAAGTGAAGAGAGGATCTGGCTTCAGTGCTATCTCTTTAAGTCTGTTTAGACACTGAGCAGACATCTCCATAAATTTCACCACTTCAGTGTGCACATCATCATATTCGGCCCTCAGTTGTTCAATCAATGCCTGAACAGGTGCCTTCGCCTGTGGAGCTTTTAGGTACTTCTTCTTCAGCTCTTTTACTGTTCGTTTTTCTTTAACCTCCTTATACCCCCATCTGTACTTCTGGTTAAAATGTACATCCCAGTAACATTTGCCTGGACACTGAGTACATTTTCCATCTGGTCCCATTGCAGAACACTCTTCTTTATCTGCATCATTGGGTCTTGAACAGGGATAATGGCAGGTGAAACGACATTCCTGACAGTTGGTGATGTAATTTCCAGTGCCAGAAATATCTTCTTTGAAGGGCTTTATGACAGTGTCTTCAAACTCAAAGTAATGTTGTCTGTCGATCTGTGCCTCATGCTCTTTAAGTGTTTCAGTTGTTTCTTCTATCTCCTTCAGCTTGGCGAATCCAACTTTCACCTGCTTCTGCAAATTTTCATATGAATTCTGGAGCTGCTTTCTTTCTCTGAGGTCCCCTTCTGTCATCCTCAAGCTTTTGGTTTCCATGACATTCAACGCAGCAAAGAACGTCTTCATGCTTTCTATCTCCTCGTTCCAACACGCTGGATCAAATCTCTTATCTTCATCTTCATGTTTGCCATCCCCACTCATGCTATCTGCTGCAGATGATTGGTTCTGTGCAAACCACACTGCATTATCGAATCTGAAGTGAGTTTGCAGCTCGTCTTCTACTTCAGGACAGCTGAAACCTGAATATTGGAGTGCCCTTTGAATGTCCCAATCTGAGTTAAAGAAACTTGTATCACTTGAAACTGGTATCAGAACCCGGATGTTCTCTACCACATTGTCGCCAAAGAATGAAAACACAGCAGCAAACCCTTTTTTCTGTAATGATGTCAGGTTGGTAAAAAGTATTCGGAGAAACAAAACACAAAGTGTCTATTTCACTAACACCATGCTCAGCAGATAAGAGATTATGCAGCTGCTCTGTTATCTCTTTGATTCGTTTGTACACAGTGACTTCAGAGGTCTGGCTTTCAGCTTGTGATCTCGACTGATCCTCATCAATTAGTTTGAATCTGAAACTGTCCTCCCAGTCTACACCAACAATGTAGTTGATCATTGCATTGATCAGAGTGGACTGCCCTGATCCGGTCTCTCCAAAAAGTAAAACAGTGCGATTTTGCCTCATGCTTTCTTTGCCAAAAGTGAATGTTCTGCATCCATCTATGTCCATTTCTTCTTCATCCAGAGGCAGTTTGTAAACTGAGGGAGATTCAGAACTTATCTTTACACTTATACTTTTGAGGAAGTCTGTGAGGGGTGTAGATTTTGTTGTGCAGACAGTAACAGTGAGGCTTTCTTTGCTTCCTCCAGCTTCACCACAATCACATCTGACCCTGACAACATATTCTGTCTCTGGCTGAAGACCTGAAATGATCACCCTCTCAGCTCCTGCCTTCTTTTGGCTCCATTGGAGATCTTCCTCTTTCAGACTGTTGTCTTTTTTGGCGTACTCCACGATGTAGCTCAAAATGTGGACATTCTGTCCAACCTCAGCAGGTTTCTCCCAGCTGACTGATATCTCACTTGATTTTGGTTCAACTTGAGGTTTCCCAGGAGGGCTGCAGGGTAAGGTTTTAATGGAACCACTGACTTCATTGGCTGGTCCAACACCTGCTGAGGTCACTGCTCTGCACCTGAACATGTACTCTGTGTTAGGACTCAGATCACTCACTGTGACTTCTTCAGCTTCTGATGCCGTCTTCTGTTTCCATCCATCGTCTCCACTGACACAGTACTCAACAGAGTAGGAGGTGATGTTCTCTGCTCCAAACTTTGGTGGAGAAATCTTCAGTGTCACACTCTTGTGGTTTGTTTCAGTGACTGTCACTGTTTCAGGCTTTGAAGGTGGCTCAAAGTTCTCACTGACTGAAAAGCCGTCTTTATAAAGGTAGATGCTTGAACCTTTCTGTGTCTCATTTGTTGAACCAACTGTTAAGAACTTAATGTTCTTGTTCTCCTTGTTGGCCTCTGCAAAGTCACTGAAGAGCTTTGCTTTGTGACTCATTGCATCTAAAACTTCTTTTGAGGTGTACCATTGTTCCCTCTCTACATCATCAGTATGTGCATCTCGAGGTTCGTCTGGTTTGGGTGTTTCTGTTAAGTAGTTTGATAACGCTGAGAGGAAGGGTTCGGCACTTCCCAGTGAGGTGAAAACAAAACACACTGCATGCTCTGCACTGTGAATTTCGTTGTAGAGGTGATTTTGAGATGGAACGATCTTGGTGTTTTTCATCATGTTGGTGAAAGACTTTAATGTGTAGATTTCTCTCTCTTTACAGTTCATCCACTCGTTCAGGTCTTTGCTGTTGAAAGGAGAAGAATGTCTCTTCTTCAGGATCTCTGCGAGCTCAGCTTCCTCTTCTCCTCCTCCTCGGATTGATGGAAGTTTCTTTGCCAAGGTTCGTTGGAATTCCAGCTTGAACTCTGAGCACATTTCTTTAAAAGTTTTAATCTTCTTGCTGATCTGTGAGAACTGCTGTGCAGTGGTGGTTCTCAGTGCATCATTGCACCTCATTTCCAGCTCACTGAAGTCCTCCAGGACACTCTGTGATTCATGAACTAATCTTATACTTATCTGACGCACGAGTTTTGCAGCAGAAGAATCTAAACTCGTCAGTGGCAACAGCCAGACCTTCACTGGTACGGCATTTTCTCCGTTGGCTCCCAACAATTTTGGCAGACTTTGGTAGACCTCTACCGCATCCTGAAAGGATGTAGGAGGCTTCTGAAGGGAAAAGTCTCCAAAGAATCTGCAGGAGAATTTCTCAACATTTTCTCTGTCCTTGTCTTCCATTTTCAGTGAACCTTCACCCTCTATTGCAATTTTGGGAATCTTCTTGATCATCACCTTCAAGTTGCCCTCAATGTCTTGTTGGTCTTCCTTTTTGGACACTTCACGGTCAAAGACAAAGAAGGCTTGTGCCCCATAAAGAATAGCTGTGACTACATGTGTTGCTAATCCTTTATCAAAGACATACGGATGCTTCACATTGTCTCTTCCAAGATGATTCAGGGACAGTTCCTGGAACCTTGTGGTAGCTTTGTACTTCAGTGTTACTCTGGCCTGATTTTTGGAAGTCTTACTATCGTTCAGGTATTTGGCCGATCCTCCAACCTCCACCAGTCCACTTAAGAAACTTGCCTTCAGGGATGCTTCAACATTTAGTGCTGATGATTTATCTTCAATTGATTCAGATGCAACAATGTCAAAATCATTATAGCTCTGTGGTCTTTCTCCAATATGATTTCTCAGGTCATCACGGTCCCACAATGTCATTCCTAAAAAGGAAGAAGCAAAAATCAAGTTCAGCTTCCAGAACCAGCCTGACAGGAGAATTCGTTACTACATCCTACAACACAGATAATGCCAGCCTTACACCAAACAATTTTTCCAGGACTTTACTCTGTCAGACGAATTTCCAGTGATGGAATAAAATCATGAGTTTTTCCTCAGTTGGCGTGCGTGTTCATGATCTTGATCATTTGGTGTAAGGTGGTGATAAAACTCAGTACGAGCTGTCTGAAGTCAAATCTTTTTCTGGCCTTGACATTCCATCAAAATTAAACATGTTTAATATTATTGTAAGTTTTTAAACTTGGCTCATGGAAATAGTGAAGTTCAATGACACGAACACTATCAACAACCCAGTGTTAATTTCACTGACGACAACTTTTCATCAACAACCTTTTTTCCGTCACTAAAACGAGACGATGACAAGCAGAAAATATGTCATGATAATAAAAACTAAGACGAAGTCTATGTTTCATTTTGTTGATGAGATGAGACATGACGAAAATGTTAGCGTAACAACCAATTACTGCGCTCTCTGCTGCACCAAACAGGAAGCAGCAAACTGGGTACACCATAAAAATGGAGGGGACTCCAGGGAGGTGATGGAACATAAACAAGTCTGGGTTGTCTTGGACTGTGGAAAAGGAGAACAAACTGGTGGAGTTGTGGAGTGAACATGAGTCAGTGTTAAATTCAGTGTTTATCCGGTCCACCAACCAGCACTAAGTTTAATGAGAAATCTTCCTCTAATTTCCACGGTCTCCTCCCACTAAACTAACCCAGCAACGGGGCTGCAACTAACGATTATTTTCATTGTCGACTAATCTGTTGATTATTTCTTCGATTAGTCGACTCATCGTTGCAGCCCTACCCAGCAATGGAGGCTGCTGATGAGTTTGAGTTAAGGCCACAAAATCAACAAGACTAGGTCAAAACCTAGTATGTAGCTGGACTGGGTATGAAAAACTAGAGGGCTTTTAATTTGAAACAGGAAGCAGAGTCGGTCATGGACTTTTGCCATGAGTTTGTGTCCAGAACTGGCCCTGTAGTTTGATCCAGCCCAGTCCAGGTTGAAATGGCACTTTTGGACAGAGTAAAGAGAGGATCACCTCATCAGTTTGTTTGAGGAACAGCTGTGTTTGTATGACACAAACTGTAAATGACTTCAAAAGGTAAATTAAGGCCTGTCAATCAGTTTGAAGCTGAGGTTAAAATGACTTCCTGTTAGACTTTATTTTGGTGGTCCCTTTTTCCTTCTGATCGTATGGGACTTTTATTTTGACGCCTTCTGCTGCCAGAAACAGGATATTGATGCAGAAACGTTTGAGAACAAAGGAGGGAAGACGTGTAACTTCGCTCTGCAATTATCAAGCTCTTGTTCCCTGTACAGTTAGGCGCCCGGCTGCATTAAGCATCTTTACATGTGAATCCTCACCAGGGACGAGTGAGTCTTTGCGGCAGTCGTACAACATCCCGAGGCTGAAAGGCCGACCGAGCGCCGCCACCTCCATCGTCCCGCTGGCCTCAGAGTCCATCGCTCAGTCTGAACTGGACACTTCTCTGACTCCTCCTCTGTTTGTCTGTGAGATGTTTAAAGAACATTTGGTAATACGTCCAACCACCCTCACATTTTCACTTTAATTTGACCTTTTTCACTCACTGAAACTCACATCATTTTACAGACTTACATTTAAAATGACCATATATCTATACACATATGTCCATACATACATATATCCATAGAACACACTGGCCCTGACAATAATCCCCTGACAAATAAACAAAGGTATTAAAATTATTTCTTTAAATATTTTTGGCATTTTGTGTTTTTCAATGACGTTCTTCTCAATTTCTCTTTATGTCACTTTTTTTTCAGCAACAGTTTTTTAATGATGCTACCTTATTTTTTTTTTCATTTTCTGTCACCATTTTGTCGTGAAAAAAAGAGAAATAGAGAAATAAAGAGCAAAAGTGAAAACATTTGAATGCAAAACAAAAATCAAAATAAAATAAAGTCATTTAAATGCTTGTGTTTGAATTTTCAGTTATGTTTTTTCAGTGCCAGTGTTTCCTTGTTCAGTGCCAAATTTTATATTTTAACTGTCAAATTTTCTCTTCAAATGTCAAATGTTAATTTTTCGAAGACGACTTTTGTTTTTCAATGTCAAATTTTACATTTTCAATGTCAAGTTTTACTTTTTCCAAAGTCAAGTTGCACTTTTCAATGTTAAATTTTATTTCTTCAATGTCATATTATTCTTTTACATGTCAAATTTTAATTTTCCAATGTAAAACTTTACCTTTTTAATGTCAAATTTTATTTTCCAATATCAGGTTTTACTTTTTCAATGTCAGAATCTACTTTTCAATGCCAGATTTTGTTTTTTAATGACAATCTTTAATTTGTCCATGCCCAGTTTAATTTTTGTATGTCAAATTATGCTTTTTAAAAGCCAGATTTGATTTTTTCAGTGTCAATTTTTAATTTCTCATAGACAAATGCTATATTAAATGTCAAGTTTTACTTTTTCAGTGCCAAAACTTACTGTCAAATCTGTCAGTTGGTTGACTTCACTTGTGTTCTTAACACTGCTGTTTCTTGTGTCTTGATTTGTTTTGCTGTGTCTACATGGCTGTCATTCTGCCTCTGAAAGGTCATGTTGACTGCTGAACTTTTATTTAACCTTTGACCTTTAAACCTCTGATAAATCACCACAGTAACACTTCATGTGATTGGCTGCAGTCAGGATCTAAACCTGTGATATGCTTCCCTCTGGTGGCTGATACAACACACTGCTTCAGCTGGTCCAACAGTTTCATATCACACACAGGAGGGTGTTTCCTGTCAGAGTCATTTCACTGTTAGGTGACACAGAACAAACTGAAAGTCCTTTGGTCCAAAGCTCTTTTGTATGTTGTTGTCAGCTTAATGTCAGAGAGGTGATTTTTCTGTTAGATTTCAGTTTATCAGTTACTTAGTTTAAGTTTCTGTTACCGGTTTGTTTTTTACTGTGTCAACAACTACATATGTGGTATAAAAAAGTCAAGCAGTAAACCAGAACAACAGGAAGCAGGTTGATTGTTAATCCAAAGGAAGAGAAACAGAAAGAAAGTGGGTCAGTTAGCTCAAGCTAATGCTAGCTGGGACTGACGTCACTGTCACAACAAGTCTGATAGTGGCTTTAACTCAGTTTGACCAAGTCTTCAGTCAGTGTACTGTAGTTTTGGAGAACAGTGTACTCACCAGAGATTCGTTGACAAAGACCTGATGGAATCAGCTGATTTTGTCCTCACAGAGAAACAGATATACTTGTCTCCACTGCAGCACTGCTGTCTCTGAGATCAACTCCCACATGAGGAAATGAGAAACTAACAGTTCCCCTAGTGTTGCTCTGCCTCGCACTGTACAGGAAGTCATGAAAGGCTGCAAGGGGAGGCGTCACTGAGCTTCAACACCCGCCCATCATGAACCTTCAACCTCCAAAAACTGATTTTTAAATGGAAGAAAACGATGAGACTGATGAACCATTGCTGCATTCAGTGTGTTACAGTTTTATACAGTGTTGAGGAGGATGAGCTTTATTGTGTTTCACAGCACACACACAGTCATGAAGAGCCTTAATGGAACCAGTAAACATGGTAATTAACTGACACAGTGATGTGGATTTGTCATTTACACACTGAAACACACACACAATGGTTTTAACTGTCTATCCCTTCAAAATAAGAGCGCAGTGTGACTGAAGGGAACTTGAGCAAAGAGAAACAAATCCTCAGTGTGTTCACAGAAAGTTAGCTGGATCACATGAACAGGATCATTTAGCTGACTGAGGTCATGTTTGAAGAACAGAGCTCTGTAGCCTACTGATCAGGAGAAATGGGAACGCTATAGATTACAGCCCGCAATTTACACCGTAACTATCGGGTAGTTAGGGTGTAATCTGTTGTACTAACGGTGTACCAGTGTAGTATGTACATGTATGTAGGTACAGGGGAACAAGATGTTAAGTTATGGAGTAAGGGGCGAACAATTCGTGAATTTACAGAGAACTTATAGTTATAGGTATTTTTAACTCCTGTACCTATTCTATTATTACAGGGTACAGTATGACGATAAAACTGAAAAATCGGAGGGAAGATGAAGGGAAGACTTCTGCAGCAAGTAATAAATCAGATGTGATTTCATTTCAAAATGACCTAATTACAAACAAACAGTCAATCTACATTGTTCCTTTATATTTTCAGCGGGTAGCCTGACCGTTAACAGCTTTTTACAGCTGTGTTCCAGCACAATCTGTTCACAGAGGACCACGCTCAGGACCCATAACACCTGCAGTTAACTATTTGTCATTGCTTTTTCTGGCCCATACCGTAGCTGCTAGTGCACCCCCACTAATTTTAGATGCAGTTTGTTCTGGAACCAGGCCTGTGTTATCGTCATCAATGCTAGTTAGCTAGCTCGCATTAATAGAAGCCAACACACTGGCTAGTCTGAGGTGGGCGTGGGCCTGGTTTTATTTGTTGTGGCAATTTTTAGCTGATTTGCTTGGGAGTAAGCAAACAAGACTGAATAGCTTCATGCATGAGAGTTTATTCTCTGTAGAGAAGGCACAACGTTAAGCTCAGAGCTCAGAGTTTGTGCCCAGAACAGTGAATACAGGGCATCTTTATACTTACATTCAGACGACAAGATGATGAGAAATCAATTGTAGCTTTCTTGGGCTTTCCTGATTTAATTATGTTCTCTTGATTATATCAGAGGAACATACCTGTTGCAACATGTTAGGTAATCAGCTGTATCTGTTAGACAGTCAATGGACTGTCTTTGAAGATGAGATTACAGTGAATGTACATCTCTTGATGATGTAAAGTAACGACAGATGGGGAATGCAAAGGTCACACACTTACAAACACATAGGAAGAGTGAAACAATGTAAACATATGCATGAAGAAGACAAAATTTCCACCACACATCGTCGTTTAACTAACGTTGCATGTTCATAAACTTTGACCTGTTAAGCAGTTCGAAAAAAATTAAAATATGTTTTGCTGCCTTTTCATCTTTACTAGTTAAGAGTTAGTGAGTTTCAGACTGAGGAAAACGTTTAAGGTGGAATGTTAACACACCTTAAAGGGAAATTTGGGTTTATTTCAACCTGTCTCCTATCGTCCTAAATTAGTTTCAAGTGACTAGTGACATATAAATAATAGTTAGCATGTTAGCCGTTAGCCTAGATACAGCCGGGGCGCATAGTAGCGTCAGACCTGTTAAAACGTAAGTGAACGGGCAACCTTCAAGTGCAAAGTTAGTCCACTAAACAAGCTTTTTTTCCACAAAGACCGCCTCATATCGTTAGGATAAATGTCAGAGAACATATAGAAAACGACATGTAAACGTGTTGTCTTACCTTAC